GTGTTTTTTGGGATAGATAACATCCATGCTATGAGGGAAAGCCTTGTTCGCCTCAGAGACTACCTGGATACACATGGAACCAAATCTTCAGATGGAATGTCATCATTTTTGGTATAATTGTATTTTTTTTTTTCTTTTTCTTGAGTTTGAAAATTTCTATCTAAAATCATTAATATTTGAACAGAGAAATGGCGGATGGACATGGGGTGGAGGTAATCTTAGCAGTATGTCTGCTTCTGTATCGACACTTGGTGACAGTGGTTGGCTAATACACATCCAGAATGTTCTTGCTGGATCTGCTTGGATTGCTGCTCGTGTGGCAATAGAGTCTGCATCTGTGCTTGTTCATTGCAGGTAAAATTATTTGCATTATTATTATTTTTTTTTTAAAAAAGGTATTATATTTATATTTTTAAAAATAAAGTATACAATAATTGTTTTGTACAGTGATGGATGGGACAGAACAACACAGCTAGTTGCACTTGCAAGTTTGTTGCTTGATCCATATTATCGCACCATAAAGGGATTTCAGGTATTCAATGGAAATATTGTTCATGTAAATAGGATATAAAATTTTAATACTTGTATGCATATGTAGGCACTTGTGGAAAAAGATTGGCTTGCATTCGGGCATCCATTTTCAGATAGGGCAGGAATGGGAAGCTTATCTGGGAGTGGTTCAGAATTACCCAGACAGTCTTCAAGTACAAATTTCCCATCATCACCCATGCGTCAAACAACTGGTTCATTCTCATCACAATCCCCAGCTTCTACACAAACACAAACACAAACTTCAAACAATTATTCTCCAATATTTCTTCAGGTCTCTTGCCTTTCCACTTTCCATGTTCATATATTTTTATTTATTTATTTGTTTATAGATCGTTACTTAATGTGTTCGTTAATGTTGTATTTAACAGTGGGTTGATTGCGTCTCCCAGTTATTACGAATGTACCCTTTTGCATTTGAGTTCTCATCGGTACGTTTTTTTTTTTTTTTAAATAAGACAGTAATAATCATTTGTTGTTTTTTAACATGTAACATGTCTTGCATTGCAGGTTTTTTTGGTTGATTTTCTAGATTGTATGCTTTCATGTCGTTTTGGGAACTTTCTGTGCAATAAGTAAGTATAACTTTCAACTTTACATACCAAGCATTACAATTTATAGTTTTTTAGACACTATTAAAGTAAAAGAGTTGCGATTTTTGTAAATCAGTGAGAAGGAAAGGGAACAGTTTGGTGTTTCTGAGGCGTGTGGGTGCATGTGGATGTATTTAGATGATTTACGTGCTTCAGGGGGGAATTCTCACGTGCACTACAACCTCTTCTATGATCCGTCAAAACACAATGGTCCTTTACTGCCGCCAGCTGCCGCCTTGGCCCCGACCTTGTGGCCCCAATTCCATCTCAGGTGGGCATGTCCTTCAGAAGCTCAAGCTGGGGAGGTCGAAGCTCAGTGTAGGAATATGGTAGAAAAGATCTCTGAACTTCAAAAGGTAATTCATATTTCACACCCACCTCTTTTTTTAAGGAAAAAAGTTGAATTTTGGAATCCAACTTTCCCCATTTTTTGTTCTATTTATACCATTACAACCGGCTATCATAGATTTAGTTGGTTTTAATGCACATATGGTATTCCAAAATGGTCACTGAACAATTTTTTGTCTTTTTTATACATTTATTTACTGATGTTTAATAGAGTCAACCTCAAGAATGGTCCCTATGGTACACCACTTTTCTTCTTTTCAGTCCAAAAGGATCCCTTATCTAGAAAAAAGGTCCTTATGGGCCCTTTCGTTCCAAGTTTGGTCCCTCCCTTTAACACGTTTACTTTAGCTATAACCACAAATGGTGAGTATACTACTATGCTTTATGTGGATTGAACATAAATGATGGCCATTTTTGTAGCTTCAACCTTATCTGTGGGATTTTAGCTAGAGAAAAAGGTTGAACAATTACTGTATTTGGGGAGTATTGAGAGAGAAATGACAAAATGTACAAACAATTATTAGTAATAATAGAAAAATATATAACGGAGGGCAAGTTATTTTATAGCATATTTAACGGCCAAAAAGTAACTCCATTATGTCATAAGGACTACTTTAAAAAAAAAACCTTTTTGGACCGGAACCAAAGATAGTAATGCACCAGAGGACCTTTCTTGAGGGTTACATTGTTTATTATTTATTATTATTAATATATATATATATATATATATATATATATATATATATATATATATATATATATATATATATATATATATTACATTTTGTGCTTTTTATATCATTTTTTGTGCATCTAGAAGCCGTAAACAAAATATTGTTATAAAGAAAGTTCTTCAATAGATAATTGGTTTGCATTTCGATATTTACTCTGCAGTTGAAGTTTCTTGGATTTCTTTGTTGAAGAGTTTAATCTCGATTTTATTTAAAAGCACAAAAAATAATATATATTTTTGTTTTGAGACCTAGGTGTAAAAATAGAATGCATAAGTATCTTTTTTCTTTAGGGATCCTATGTGTACAAAAAAAGGTACAAAAAGCGAATCATATTTTTATTTAAAGATACCATTTTTCTTTTATTTAGAGATCCTATGTGTACAAAAAAAGGTACAGATAAAATGGTATATAAAGGTACCATTTTTCTTTTATTTAGAGATCCTATGTGTACAAAAAAAGGTACAAAAAGCGAATCATATTTTTTGTTTTTAGTTGTTGATGATAAAAATTAAATATCAGTAATAATGATATAAAAAACACATTTTATTTTGTTTAGGGACCTTAAGTATACTAAGAAAAGTTGAGGGACCATTTTGAAAAACCATATATGCGTTAAAACCGGCTAAACATGTGATAGCTGGTCATCAATATCATGTTAATAATAGCACAAAAGAAATTGTTTTAAGAATCAAATCCCCTATGCGTATGGAAATATGGGGAAATTTGGTTTTTGAAATTCAACATATTTCCCTTATTTTTTATAAACATATATTATAAAATTTTGGTGATAAAATAATATTATATTTATATGAACAGGCAAAGGACGTGGCTGAGAGGAAAGCCAGAGAAGCGATTGCGTCAATGGAGGCAGTAAAAGCAGAGATACGAAACGAAAAACAAGTGAGCAGTTCAGCCATGAATCTGGCAAGAAAAGCAAACAGAGAAAACGATATGATAAAGAGAGCCATACAATCACTGGGGTGTAGGATTCATGTTTCTGGGAATGATGACTGTACGATTGACATTGAAACCAATGTAGCCGACATACCACAAAGAATAACATCATCTTCAATGAGGGAGACAGGAGGTAGTGAGGAAAAGACGGATATGCCCATCTCGGTTACCATAACAGCTGATAACAACAATGATGTGTCTGAGAACCCGATTCTGAGGGTTTGTGAATCTTTGTGCCCGCAAAGGACTCGGGAGGGAGGGTGTAAGTGGCCTGATGCTGGTTGTGCTCAACTTGAGAGCCAGTTTGTAGGTTTGAGAGCTAACTATGATGCTTTTGACCGTTTGTCTATCTATGATAGCTACTTTCAGCCAAAATGACAAATCACAAATGACAAATTTACCCTCCTAAACGATAGGAAGAATAGCGGGATATTGTACAGTCTAGTCTGAGGGAGAAACAAGAACAAACAAACCACTGGATAAAGAAAAGTATCAACTCAACTAAAAAAAAGCCCTAGTTTGAAAGGGAAAAACTTGCTAAATTATATTCTTGGATGATGTTTGGTTTTAGGAATGAATTAATTGTACAGGTGAAGTGTAAAGGAGGTGGCGTTTTTCATGGTTATGTTTTTGAGGTGGTGGCCGGTGGCTGGTTGTGTACACTGTACAGATTGTTGTTGGTAGTTAGGTACTAGGTACTAGTTAGTGTAGGTGTATTAATTAATTCTGAAACTAGAGATGTAAAAGTAGTTCATCAACTTTTTTGTTGGTTAAAACTTCAGAACTTAAAACAAGCAACTCAATATATACTAATATGCTGGTTTCAGGCTGTTTTTACTTTTTACTTTTGTATTTTATGTTGCATTTCGATAGATAAAGCATATATCAACTCATACTAATAATGTGCTTATGTTCTGGTTTCAAGCTGTTTTTACTTTTTAATTTTGTATTTTATGTTGCATTTCGATAGATAAAGCATAGGATATATTAAGGATTACGACCAACATTTAAATTCAGGTTTTTTATACATGGTAAAAACAAAGAGTACTCCTTGATTATGTGCCATTTTACAAGTAAACTGAATCCAAACACCATTTTACATGCCTATTCATCGGCTCCTGATGCTGCTGGTGGTGAATCTTCATTTGATGGCTTCTTCTTATTTGCCCTTCGCTCTTTCCATCTTGCCAAAACCCATCTCAAAACGAAAAATCCTCCAATTGCATAAACCTGATTTCAAATATTATCTTTGTTTATTAGTAATCAACGATGAATGATATGCAATAACCCTACATCACCTAACCATAATTGCTATATGAAATTTCAATAATATCTTCTACTCTCTTTGATTGTGATCAAAACAGCATAATACTTTTATTTCCACTGGATTAATGAGTATATTTCTATAGAAAGTTGAGAGATTGATTACCTTCAGATAGATGAATTCAAAAAAAGTGTTACGCATCCATTCATACCTGCCAAAGAACAACAGGATTGGTATCTTGCTCCAACTCTTCCGCTTCGACCTTCAACGGAGGAACTGTCGTCGTCCGAGCATCAGGAAACCTGACAACCACCGGTTTCGACACCTCCGGTTCCACCACTTCACTACTGCGAAAAACTGAATCTCCACTCCCTTTGCTCTCCGTTTCCACCTTCACTACGTCTTTCTCCGCCGGTCGTGGTGGAAAACGGGAGTTAACAAACTTAGTGAACTTCGAGATGACCGAAAGCAAAGGATTAGGAGGTATACTGGATTCGTCCTCGGGTTTGCGAACCATCGAAGCTCCTTTCTCCGCCATTGTTTTTTCAGTTTGAAGAAATGTTATGTGTGAGTGAGTGTGAGCGCGCGCGTCAAAACGGTGGAGATTCCGTAATGGAGATGCCTAGAGGAGCGTTTGGTGAAGCTAACGAGGGTGGCACTCAGCCACTCGCTATGCGAGACGCGTGTACAACATGACAGGGTAATGCGGGCCTTAAGTTCTTGTTCTAGGCCCATTTTATTGGGTTTAATGGCCTGGCCCACTTAATAACTTTTATAAATGTAAAGTATTTCAAAAGTAAAAATATTTCGTAGAAAAGTTGCCAAATGCTTTTAAAACTTATAAAATATTTTAAAGCTGATAAATATTGAAATTGAGTTTTATTTTTTCTGTTTATTTAAAAATTTGTCAAAAAAATAATTTTTGTGATTATTCTATTAAAAATATTTTTTAAATTTGTTATATTTAAGTTTCATAAAAAACTATGAGGAAATAAATTAAAAACATACAAAATAGTTAATAGATCGATTCTATCTCTTTCTTTTTCTATTCCGTGTACCAAACAATCTCTCTAATTACAGAATCCACGTCATCCAGTATAAGTTGGTGAAAAACTTTGCAAAAGTAAGTAAGTAACAATTTTGTGGGGACCATAAATAATCACGCATCAGACTTGTCCCAGTGCCACGTGTACCTGGGTTTATCTAAAATGAATCCATCTTCCAGAGCTACAAATGTTGAACTCAAATTAATAAAGCTCTAATGATTTGCATCTTCCGCTTAATACTTGTACCTTTTTTGAGATTCAGCCATTTCAGACGTGAAAAAAGGACCTCTCTCTTTCTCTGATGATCTGGATCTTAATCGGCGACGGTTCTCCCTCCACAAACAGAAAGTCTGCTTTTCATCAGACTCGTCATTTCGCACTCTTAACACAACGATCGCTTATTTCTTCCAATTTGCTGATAACTAGTAGTTGTTTGTAGTAGTAAATTCATCGGAGAAAATGCATTCCCATCACTTGCAACTCGAGGAACCTATCCGAATGGCTTCAATTCTCGAGCCTTCTAAACCTGTAAGGATCAAAGTCAAACCATTACATTTTCGATTTATTTTCATTTTTTTTGCTGTTCGAAGCTCCCAGTTCAATAATTTTCAGTATATTTCAGTAATCGTGTCTCTGATTGCTTGAATTTCGAACTTGTGAGATTGCCAGAGGTTTTATGTAATAATTTTCGGTATTAGATTAGGTGTTATTGGAAAAGTTGAGACTGTTTTGTCTTGTTAATTTTCCTTTTCAACCTTTTCGTAAATGTAAACGAGACGCCTGTTTGATTACTGTTGTCTAGAGCTTCTTTCCCGCCATGACGAAGATCGTCGGAACCTTGGGCCCGAAATCGCGATCTGTTGAAATCATTTCGAGCTGCCTTCAAGCTGGGATGTCAGGTGATCTTCACTTTCTATTGTTTAAGTCAGAATTTAGAACTACCTCGGGTTTATAGTAGATGCATTTTGGACTTCACGGTCAAATGTGTCAAAATTTTGAATTTTGACTTTGTCAGGAGTTTATATTTACTTTTGAATATTCAATTCTCTATTAATACTTCATTTTCCTGCAGTTTAACATATTTCGATTGTATTCATTCAAATATCCAAGCATCTGACTCAGTTGCTTATCATGTGAAAACACAAGTTGAAATACATCTATGGTTTTGGAGGATTTTGCTTTGTGTTTATCCTGTTTATGTTATGGAAACTTATTGAACTTGTATAGCTGAACTGAAAAGTGAAAATGCTTCCATTAGTTTGACAATTTTTCCATAAAGAACTTGCTTATGTATTGTCTTAAGTGTTTAATTGTACTACAGTACTGAATAATCTACCTTGGAGTCATGTTGTCCCTGAAACCTTCTTATCTCTCTCTTTTTGTATGTGTAGTTGCAAGGTTTGATTTTTCATGGGGTAACACTGAATTTCATCAAGAGACACTGGAAAATCTTAAGATGGCTATCAGGAGCACAAAAAAACTATGTGCTGTAAGTTTGTTTCCTGCACCAAAAGAATGAAAAACTATCTATCTGAATATCACTCACTTGTGAAGTTGATAATTCCTTATATACAAGGGTTTTTAATTCATAATATGATGTTAATATATAATTATATATAAGTTTATTTGCATCCTTTCTACCAGGTGATGTTGGACACTGTGGGTCCAGAGTTGCAAGTTGTCAACAAAACTGAGCATCCTATTTCTCTGGAAGCAGAAACCTTGGTCATTCTCACACCCGATCAAGAAAAAGAAGCCACTTCCAATCTTTTACCAATAAACTTTAGTGGGCTTTCAGAGGTAAATAATTATGTTGAGATTGTTAAGCTTGATTCAGAATGTGAGAGCTTCAATATAAAAACTTTATGATATTGCTTGAACTTTTATCTTTACAGGCAGTGAAGACTGGTGATACAATTTTCATTGGTCAATATCTGTTCACAGGAAGTGAAACAACTTCAGTATGGTTGGAGGTAAGGCAAAATTATAACCTTGGATGATTTGCAAATTATCAAATTTTGATTTATTAATAATACACAGGTAAATGAGGTGAAAGGAGAGGATGTTGTTTGTTTGATAAAGAATTCTGCTACTCTATCTGGTTCGTTATTCACCTTGCATGTATCCCAAATACGTATTGAGCTGCCAACTCTCACTGATAAAGATAAGGAGGTGAAGTTTCTCTTTCTTTTTTTTTTCCATTGGATGTTTCTGATCATATATTTAAGTTGTAAAATTTATGGAAAATTGAAGGTTATTAGCACATGGGGAGTGCGTAACAAGATAGACTTCCTTTCTTTGTCATATACCCGCCATGCAGAAGACATTCGACATGTAAGGACTCTTCTTCCTACCAAGTGATAATATTTAGGGTTTTTATTGGTTGAATGGAATGATGATAATATATAGGATCTATTTGATTGAATGGAATGATGAATGAAATCATGCCAAGATAGTGGAATGAGTGATTACATTTCATGAATCATGATCATGTTTGATTGCATGATAAGAATTGAATGAATTTATATATTATATGTAAATAAAAGGTAACTTTTAAGTTTTAACACTAGTCTATATATCATTTAATTATAATATTAGAATTTATTATTTACAAAACCAAAAAATTAAACATGTTTCAAAAACTCAACAAAACCAAAATAGGATTATAATAAAAAATATATTTTCTAGTTTTAAAAACTAAAATTTTAACCTTCTCCACTATTTTTGTGATTCTATCATGCAGGCCCGTGACTACCTCACCAAGTTGGGTGATCTCAGTCAAACTCAGATTTTTGCAAAGATTGAAAATTTTGAGGTCAGATGCCACATTTTTCAAGCTGTATGTAATCCAATTGTCTCTGAAATACATATGTATATTGCTTTTTATTGCAGGGCCTTACCCATTTTGATGAGATCCTACAAGAAGCAGATGGTATAATCCTTTCTCGAGGAAACCTTGGCATAGATCTACCTCCAGAGAAGGTTCATTTTATAACTCAGAACTTTAAGATTGAAAGAAGTACTGATCAATTAGAATGAAAATTTGTCGGACCATACACACACGGGTGGAAAGCCAAAACTCTTTCAACAGTGTCACTTCGGCCTGTGCAATGTCAACACACTTTCAAAAGTGGTCTCCTGTCTCCACTAACAAATCAACAACTACTTCATACTTTTTAACACATATATCTTAATTAATTGTAATTATAAATATTTATTAAAATCTTTTTATTTTTGAGAACTTAAATTGCTATAATATTTTTTAATTAAATAATATAATATTCTGTTAAAAATTATTGAATTAAGCGTTAAAATGTATTTTGTTAACTTTAGAATCAAACTTTTTTTAACAATATTATATATATATATATATATATATATATATATATATATATATATATATATTCACAGATAATAAATTAATTTAATACATAAATATAAAAAATGTAATAATAAATATAAATAAATGATAACGTAATTATATAAGGTTGGGGGGAGTGATGCCACTTAAATCACACTTTTTGCTTTACCACGTCACTGTCATGTCATTTTTATCATAAAAGTGTAGTTTCTTTGCCACACTAGGATTGGTGCCGCACTTTTTTTAACAATTTAATTTATATAAAAACTTCAATTTTAATTAAAAACATAACATTTCATTACTTCAAAAAAAATATTAAATTGCATTACTTAAAGAAAAACATTACATGACATTAAAAAAAAAGTAAAAAAAAAAAACTAGAAATCTTAAACCTACAAACTTACAAAAAAAAATACACATCAAATGATTAAAAGTAGCTAGAAATTTTAAACCTACTTAGCATAACGTTTTTTGACGTCGACTTTCATCGCCAAAGCAATTTCAAGCTCCTCCTCGCTCATGTTCGTTGTGTCTAGCGTTAGTATTTTAATGTCACTATCTCTTTGTTTCTTACGCTCTCTTTCAGAGGCAATTTGCAAAAACTTGTCAATTCTTTCTTCTATACCCTTCACATCGTCCCCCATTTCTTTCAAATCATTCTAATCTACCGATTTGCCTTTGTCTTGGCGTTTTGTTTTGTCCCTTCCCATTGGTCGGGAAGGTGGTGCAAATTGAACGGGTTCATCATCGTTGAGATCGAAACCAACATGAGCATCCGATGTAGTGCGGTCGGATTCGGATGTTTTGAGCGTTTTGAACCACTATCGATTTGCTCGCCGGATGTTTTGTTTTTTTTCCATTATATGTTATCTTTCACAAGATACCAAAAGTCAATAAACTTGAAAACCTTCTTGTTTTTTTTTTGGTACACTTTTAGAGCTTTCTTCAAAATCACTTCATCACTTTCTCCGCTTTTCCATTGACGTTGCATGTTATACAAATCATTAAACAACATGACTTCCTTGTTTGTCTTCCCCCATTTGGAATACACTTAGTCCTTTGAACGATATTCTGGAAGGTTCAATCATTTGTGGAACCTTTTTGTAACTCGCCTCCAAAAAAGATCATGTTTTTGGTCTTTTCTTGTCTTCACGTCTTCAGATCCATGATTTGTGCCAATGCCATAACTTCTTCGGGTTTCCATTTGTTGGCCGCCGCCTTCTCTTTTCTTTTACTTGGTGCTTTAATGGGTTGGGTTTCTGAAACGATTTCGGGTTCAGAATCAGAAGTGGGCGCTTGAGTCTCTTGAGTGAATTTGGGTGAGACAAAAAGCCAAACGATTAAACTCAGGTTCATTTTGTGGTTGTGTGTGTGTTTGCGGTTGTGGTTGTGGCTATGAGTATTGTTGTGAGAATTGGTGCGGATAATTTGGTAGCATACCATTATAGTGATAAACCGGGGGCGAGTAAATCATACGACGATCCTAGGGTTGTGGTGTTTCTAGTGGGTGTTTTTTAATTGTTTAGGTTGTTGGAAGAAGACATGTTGAAAGTTTTGAAAAAAAAGAATTTAAAAGATAGAATAATTAGATGAAAATGTGGTAAATAATGGTTGTAAGGTTTTATTTATAGGTAAAAAAAAATCGAATTTAAATATTTGACCTTTCAAAGGTTGGGAAGAAGGAAATTAAGAGAGAGAGTGTGCGGCTAAAACCTACGTATGCGGTTAAGCTGCATTGGAAACCACGGTATGGGGGCGGTGTTCCCAACTACCACCATGGCAAAAATGCGGTAGAACCGCACCCACTCCGTTGGGTCTAAGTGTGCCCAAATTATTAACAGAGTTTTGGACTTCTGGTCATGTCATGTCATCTTATGTTCTTAGATTTCCCATGAGGAAACTGTGCTGGAATATATATCCTAAATCCTTACTTTCTGTTGTTAATGTTCTGTTTAGGTGTTTTTGTTTCAAAAGGCAGCTGTTTACAAGTGTAACATGGCTGGAAAGCCAGCAGTGATTACGCGTGTTGTGGACAGCATGACCGACAACTTAAGACCCACTCGAGCAGAGGCAACTGATGTTGCCAATGCCGTCTTGGATGGTAACTTAGTTTATTGCATTCTAATGTTTTTTTTTTTTTTACAAGGGAGAAAAAACATTATATTCCATTAATCATTAATTTGATATTCTTTTTCTGGTTCAGGAAGTGATGCAATTATTCTAGGTGCTGAGACTTTGCGAGGATTATACCCTGTTGACACCATCTCCATTGTTGGTAAAATTTGTGCCGAGGTAAGCTCCTTTTTGGCTGATACCATTAGTGCTAATATATAAGATTACTTTAACCGTCCCCTCAATTAGAGCCTAGTGGTTTAGGTGTGGAACTTCACACACGAGTCAGGAGGTCCTGTTACATCTAAAATATTATTAGTGTTATCAGTTATTTTATTTTTCATTTTTTTTAAGATTATTTGAAACTCTTATAAATCTTGTTTGCAGTCAGAGAAGGTGTTCAATCAAGATTTATACTTCAAGAAGACTGTCAAATTTGTTGGAGAACCCATGTCCCACTTGGAATCTATTGCTTCCTCTGCGGTAGTTTACCATTCTTCAACCTTTTCACCTCAGTTTTGGATCTTTTCGTGTTTATATTTAACATTCACTTGCTTGATCCAGGTGCGTGCTGCCATAAAGGTCAAGGCTTCTGTTATCATTTGTTTCACATCATCAGGGAGAACTGCAAGGTCTGTGCATTGAGAGAAAAAATATATATATATATATATATATATATATATATATATATATATAAAGAGAAAACAAAATATGGGGTGAGAGAGGCTCGAACTCTCGACCTCAGGATCACTCTTTAGCTATGAGACCTACGCGCTAGCCAACTGCGCCACCACCCCTTTGTGATAACCTATATAATTTCGTATATTTGTTATCGCAGATTGATAGCAAAGTACAGACCAACTATGCCTGTGATCTCTGTTGTGATTCCTCGGCTCAAAACAAATCAACTACGATGGACATTTACTGGCGCTTTTGAGGTACACACAACGCATTATCAAATGGTCTAATTTATTTACTTACGTAAAATAATACATCTAATTCTTCTGCTCTCTAAAAATTCTATTTCTAGGCAAGACAAACTCTTATTGTTAGAGGTCTCTTTCCAATACTTGCAGATCCTCGACATCCTGTAAGATTTCTCACTTCTCCAAAATCTCTTTTTACTTTCATATAGTATTTTTTATAGTGTCACATCAGCAATCATATTCCAAAGTCTTCTCTACTTTTATGAGAACTCAATGGAGGCACGATTTCTTATTTTATATTTTATTCCATTACTTGGAAACAGGCCGAGTCAACAAGTGCAACAAATGAGTCAATCTTAAACATCTCACTGGATCATGGAAAAGCCATTGGTCTCATCAAGTCCCATGATCGTGTTGTCATTTGCCAAAAAGGTTGGTGATGATTCTGTCGTCAAAATCATCGAGCTTGAAGAGTAAAGACTAATAAGTCACTAAATTACCTTTTATGAGGTATTTCTGATTCGGCTAATGAACAATTTGACATGTCTGTACAATAAATACACATATTCTGCAACTAGCCAGAAAGAAAAACAACCAGATTATGTCATTCCATTTGAAATATTCATCACCCAGAATGATTCAACAAAACTACCTAATCTTCATGTATCCCTTTTTCCCCAAATGACACCCAACAAACAAGACTTGCAACATAACATAACAAAAACATCAAAAACCAGATCAACCAACAACAAAACGCTACAAAACAAACATCAAATAATGCTGTCTAATTTCTAAAAGTCTACCCATGTTTTGCTTGAAAATCCTTCATGAAAGCAACCAACTTCTCAACACCAGCAAAAGGCATTGCATTATAAATCGAAGCCCTCATTCCACCAACCGATCTATGCCCCTTCAACTGAACCATCTTCTCTTTAGCAGCTTCCTTCACAAACTCACCTTCCAATTCCGATTTCTCAAGTGTAAACGGCACATTCATCAACGACCTCACAGATTTCTCAACCGGACACCTGTAAAACCCTTTGCTCTCATCAATCGCATCGTACAGAATCTGCGCCTTCTTCATGTTCTTCTTTTCAACCTCCACCAAACCACCCTGCGCCAACAGATCTTCAAACACCAATCCACACATGTAAATCCCGTAACAAGGTGGTGTGTTGTATAACGAATTGTTGTCGGCGTGGATCTTGTAATCCAACATCACCGGTGTAATCTCTTGAGCGTTTCCGATCAAATCTTTCCTTATGATCACTATTGTGACACCAGATGGGCCGACGTTCTTCTGAGCTCCGGCGTAAATGATCCCGAATTTGGAAACATCCACCGGCTTTGAACAGAAGTTGGAGGACATATCAGCGATTAGAAGCGCGTCTTTGTTTTTAGGTGTCGGGTAGTCTTTGAACTCTACGCCGTGAATAGTTTCATTCGCGCATATATGCAAATACCTGGCGTTCGGGTTCTGATCCAACTCATCGAACGACGGAACCGCGGTGTATTTCTCCGATTTACCGGACCAGATCACTTTAGGTTTGCAGTATTTTGTTGCTTCCTTGAATGCCTTGTCGCCCCACGACCCGGTCACAATGTAATCAACGGGATCTTCAGGTTTACAGATGTTGAGAGGGATGCCGGCGAATTGGGTGGTGGCGCCGCCTTGGAGGAACAGAACGGCGTAATCTTCAGAGATATCGAGTAACTTTCTCAGATCTGACTCTGCTTTTTGGATGATGGAGAGAAATTCCTTCCCTCTGTGACTCATCTCCATAACACTCATTCCAGCTCCCCGCCAATTGTAGAGCTCCGATTCGGCTTTCCGGAGAACATTTTCGGGCAGCGTGGCGGGTCCAGCGGCGAAATTAAAAACCCGATCTTGAGCGGAGGCCGAAGCTGGTGGTGCAGCGACGGTGGCGGAGTATGAACATGTGATTGAGATGGGCTTGTTGGTGGCGCGTTTGATCGGGAAGGCATGGATGGAAGGGGTGGTGGTGGTTGTTGAGGTTTTTAAGATGCTAGGGTTTTTCAAGAGGAGGGTGTGAGGGGTATTGGCTGACATTGCCATGGCTGCCTTGAAATTAGAAGGTTGGATGCAGATTTTGAGGGCGTGTATGTATGTGTATATATAGGACAAAATATAAAAATAATAATTAATTTATGTTTATAAAATCAATTACTATATATTTCAAAACAAACATTTTAAGATAATCACATAATGTATCGCACTATCTTTAATCACAAAAATGACCAAATGATTGTTCATAATTATAGAAAATGACTATGATTCACATAATAGATTATCCGAAGAACTAATCAAAAATAGAAATTTGTGATATATTGAACGACAAATGAGATGTTACACTTTATTGCATGGATTGGAATTTACATTAAATTGTTCGATGTTCGCTTTGAGGTTTTTTAGGATCAAAGCTTTGCTCGTTGAATTATATAACATTTTGGTGTGCTTTTTAAAGAAATCATGTAATGGATTTTGACCTTAGCATTCACAGACTACGAATTACCTATGAGTTATTTGTTGGATTAGTGTCTAAGCCCGTAACTATATTTTGTAAGTACTTGACCCGGTTGTGCATGGTCCTTTTGGGTTGCCTTCGTCATTGCAACTTGACAGGGTAATTTATGAAGAGAGAGAAGATATTATGATTTATTAATATATTATGAGAATAATATATTAAAGGAATAATCATATTATTTAATTAATATTAGTCATAAATTAATTGATAAATGATTTGCTGACTAAAAGAGATTAATTGAATAAAGGGGCTTAAACTGTCAAATGTGTGATAGTTGCATTTTGGGCTGGGAAACCTTTATGGTTAAGGGGTGGACGAAATTGTGGGTAGGACCCTTGGGATATGATTTTCGGCCACTTGTTCTCCTGGAAACCCTAGAGCCGAAAATCATAAGTCCTTACCCTCTCCCATATTGCCCTCTTGCCAATTAGTGTTTGTAAGTCATTAGAGGAGTGACACTTGTGACTCTAAGCTCCAAGAACAAGAAGATTCAAGCAAGCAACAAGAGGTAATCATCTAGATCTGATTTGTTTCATTAATTTCGAATTATACTCATTAGATCTAGGGTTTGAAAGTCTTGGATGAATGCATGTACAATTAGAGAAACCTAGATCCACGCATTAGGGTTTGCATGTGCACATAGGAAAGTTTTTATGGCTCAAACCCATCATTATTTTCACACAACTTTGTCATTGTCGTTATGTCGTATAAACTAAGGATGACCATTTGGACCGGGGAACCAAACGGAACCGGAACCGGATAGAACCGATTGGGTCGGGACCGGGACGATATTCTTGTGGATTTTTGGAACCGAGAACCGGTAGAACCTGTAAAAACCGAAACCGTAACCGAAATATTTCTCAAAATATGTTGTTATTTCTCTAGGACCGATTCCAACATTGAAGACCCAGCAAGAACCGGTAGAAACCGGAACCGATAGAACCAGAACCGGTAGAACCGGCGGTTCGATTCGGTTCCTATTTTCCACCAAGTTCGGTTCCCGGACCGGTTCCGGTGCTCATCCCTAGTATAAACACTAATTTTCTTTTATTTTCATTTTCCATAACAACTTTGTTGAAAATACCAAGTGTTTTTAATATTCAATCTCATATTTATTAATTATTGAGTTTGGGTGTTTTGTGTCAATATTACAATTCCTGGTTTTCTCTCATTAATGAAATATATTTGTTATAAGGGGTTATTCCTGGTATTTTGGGAATGTTGTGGACTGCGGCTCGTTTCTTTCAAACTACAGGTATGACACGCAGATCTTATCCATGGATAATATCCAAGACTCGGTTCATATCCATGACCCGAGGTATATATTGGTGAGAGGTGAAGGGTTTCATCATATTCAGATCATTTTTTGCTCCCAATACTCTCTCTCTCTCTCTCTCTCTCTCTCTCTCTCTCTCTCTCTCTCTCTCTCTCTCTCTCTCTCTCTCTCTCTCTCTCTCTCTCTCTCTCTCTCTCTCTCTCTCTCTCTCTCAGTTAGGGTTTCACAGTTGTAATATTTTGTGTGATTGATCATCATGTTGTTCTTGATCATTGTAGTGGAGGTTGAGTGTTTCATTTTGAGAGTAGATTGGGGTTTTGTAGTGAGGTTTGATTTGTAAGTAAATTGAAAACTTTCTCTTTCTTAATCCTCAAATGATATAAGAAACGTTGATGTTGCGAAAATTTGGTTTATCGTTTTTTAACAAAAATGATATAAAATTATACAAAAGGATAGGAGGACCTTATAATGACATTCACTCACATATAAGTTTTAACCAACATCAAAATAACCAAAACACAAACTAATGAAAATTACAAAAAATAAATAAATAAATAAAAATAAAAAAACAAACAAACAAACAAAAACACCAAATTTGCAATTGTTTTCTTCAATTGTTTCTACATATTTGGATGATACTTAATCATCTTACTCAAAAGCTTTTGCATTTCAATATTTTTCTCCTTGTACCAATTATTAAGTAGTAATTCATCATACACACCCAAAATACGTACAATCTCTATCATTATTTGAAAATATGAGCAACCAAAGAAACGCTTACATGGTTTTTTGTTAGTCGAAAAAACTATAAACATACCTTGAATATCACAATGGCATCTAGGAAATAGTTGACTTTGAGTTTGCATTGGTAAGTTTGAGGCTTGCACCACTTGAACAAGAGTGCATCGTCATTATTAGATTGGTTGCCACTCTGCCAACCCAAAATGCAATTTTAATGAAATGTTATTTAAAATCTGAAATGAGTAGTTTCAATTTGAATTAGTGTATGTAATGTAATATCATAGTTCATATTGATTTAGTCTCGTATCAACGATCTTCTAATAGTCAGACTGATACAAAATCAATCAGTCTAAAAACATCCTATTTCAAAGAGGATGGTCATTTTATAAAGGGATAATGACTTGATAGGGTAACGAACTTTCAACTTTGTTCATATTTAGTCACTGAACTCTACCGGTCATAAGGGTACAATGTGAACCATTTCAAATAATTCAGAGGTAAATCAAGCATTAAAAAGAGTTCAGTGACTAAATATGAACAAAATTGAAAGTTCGTTACCCTATCAAGTCATTATCCCTTTTTGCAATCATCCCTTATTTTATTTTGCCTATTGGTAGCAACTACGATTAATAATTTTGATTTCAATCACTACGAATTGTTTTGAGTTGTGTTTGTATAAAGTATTACAAAATAGAATATGTACCACATAACTATGTTGTAGTCCATGGCTTTAATCCTAGTCCATGAGATAAACTTTTAACTAGAGTTTCTTTATTCATGTATAAGTGAAACATCAACCCACAGGGAAGAAATTATCAAAAGAGTTACACAAAGGGAAAAAGAGACATACGAGCAATTAAACAAAAAAATAAGATCAAAAATCAAAAGGAGCACGGTGAGAAGGAACATATAGAACTAACAACAATTAGAAAAGTTAGATGCAAGTAATAACTAGCAAGAAAAAGGAAGGCGGTCGTGATAGGGAAAGGGATTCTGAATTTTTGAACCACGAAACACTCGGTTTCCATTTCGGTTGTACGTGCAATCATTCAAAAGGAGAAGGATCGGACAAAAGAAGGTGCGACAAAACAAGTTAAAAGTAAAAACAATCAAAACTGGGCAAATGCACAAACAATGTAAAGGAAGCTAGCACCTAGACTACTCATGTACTGCTCCACAACCCTGAGCTTTTTATCCACTTTGTAATTAAAGCTCATGTCCTTGTAAAGAGAAAAACCGCATTCAAATCTAACATCGTATTATCTTCAAAACAACCGTCTCCATCTTCTGCAGTGAAAATCGTCACCTATGCCCTAAGTATATATTCTTTTTTCCTCACACGATCTACAACTGTCGTCTCCACCTTTTGGAGTGAAAACTGTCTCCTACGTCCTAAGTATATGTATGAAACCACCATATTTTTTTCCCTTCAGTTTTTGTGATTGAAGCCTCACCTACTGCATTTATAAGTGTTGTTTATGGTACCTTATGCTATAAATATATATCACACGATTACAACAACATTATCACTTTTGTGACCTCCATAATCTTTTTGCGATCATCATTAATAACATTTAGAACCATTTATAGAATAATGACTTGAAAAGATAACAAACTCACTTTTGTTCTGGTTTAGTCATTGAACTTTTTTCGTGTTTGATTACCCTTAAATTATTTAAAATTGTTCACATTTTACCCTTATGATTGGTTGTAACCGGCTAAAAGCACTAATAAAAGTAACATTTATACGTTTCAACAAGTTTAAGGGTTAATATCCCAAATGTGATCAAAAGATAAAATACGTTACCCTCTCAAGTTATTATCCCAAAAAAATGGTTATATTGGGTCACATATCTAATTATTATCTTTATAATTATCTCAATATGTGATGTATATATGGTATATACGTGTAATTACACATTTTCGATCTTTATTTTTAGCTTTTTAAAAATAGAGCGTTTAATAATATTTCAAACTATATATAATTATTTTTAAGTACTGAGAATAATTATCATATATTACTATGATAATTGTGAACCACAAATCTTATTGATAAATATACTTTCAGAACCAATGTCAAGTCAAAATATTAGATCTATTTAAAATAGAGTAAAGTGTAAACTACTCGGTTGGTGAGGGGCCTGGAATAAGTAAAAGCAGCGGTGTGTGCCGTCGTTGGTGGGTAGGTGAGAGAGTCACATTCCCAAGAATACCCTTTCTTTCTACATAATTATCGGGTTTGCCATCCTTTGGACTTTTTTCTATTCAAATTACCAAAAAAATTGACTATTTTACAAGGTTAATATTTTATTTAAAGATCGTTGTTGCTTCCAAACATTGTGATTGTAAAATAATTTGTCAAATAAAAGCAATTCAATCGCAATTGTTGTATTTTCGGTTTCACTCATCATAATTATACTTTCTCTTCCAGAATACTGATTTATTTGGTTTTTATACGACTTCAAATTATTTTATAAACAAAGATATTCGAGTTGAAACAAAGAGTTAGCTTTAATTTGATTTTACATTAACGTATAATCTTGAAAGTTTTTTGCAAAAAATAAAAATA